AAAAAAAAAAAAAAAAAAAAGGAGCAAAGGACTACATTTTGTAAATATAAGATTTTATTATATATTTGTTCACTGATAGATCAAAACACATACCAAATCATCAGTGCTTTCCTATTAATTTCTATTAAGCTGGCCACCAAAAACCAGAAATTCGAAACAATCACTGAGATGATCCTTTTGGTATTTTTGGTATCTCATTGCCCCTCAAATGTATTCAGTACTAGTTCTTCCCCCTTTTATTTCTATCCTCAAAAAGGGAGCCACTTTTTAAATTTAACTATCAGTTTTAAGTCACAAATACCATAATTAATTAGCTTACAAATACTCACCTGTCCCTGTTTCCAGCACTCTTTGAAAAGTTTCCAATTATTACTATTTTTATAATCCTTAAGCCACAGAATATGCTTCTCACAGACCCAAGAATGTGGTATATCACCGTACAACTTATTACTGTCATTCACAGCAGATTTTCTTTCTCTAGGGTCTTCTTTGAGCTCTGATTTGACACTCATCTTGGAGGTTTTATTTGGTGGAATTTTGTTTTCAACAACTGAAGCAATTATATCATCAAGAATGTTAGGCATAGTTCGTCCACTTTTGCCACTCTGTTAAGGTAGAGGGAAAATATAAAACTTGTTGAAAAAAACCAGCATTTTTGGGAGAAAAAGTGTAATTTTCTTCCCACACATTATATTTTAAACTAACTTTCACTACTGGAAAACAAAACAAAACAGAAAACAAGACAATATTCCCACCTACCTGAGAATATACAGCTATTTAGTGGGTAGGGTTCCCTAGTCCCTGAACTGTTCCTGAGTGCTGGGGCCAGAAGTCTGGTAGTATAAAAAACTACCAGGTCTGCAGAAGCTGGAAGCATGCTGTTCACACTGCTTTAGGTCTGAGGCAGACGGTACAGATGGGGTGTCCCTGGGGGGCTGCAGCGGGTTTGGAGACAGGGTCTCAATACGTATAGTTCAGGCTGGCCTCGAACTGCAGGCAGTCCTCCTGCCTCAGCTCCCAAGTGCCACAATGAAAGGCGTGTGCTACCACACCCAACTTCCTCCATGTATTTTTAAAAGGTGCTTAGAGTTTTTTCTTACTCAGGCAATGATCTTTTTATTGTTACACAATGCATAATTAAATCTAACTTTGATCTAAATTTTCTGGGTTTTTTTTTTTTTTTTTTTGACACAGGGTCTCATACTATGTCGTTCAGGCTGGTCTTGAACTCACTATGCAGCCCCAGGCCAACCTTGAATTTGTAGCAATCCTCCAGCCTCTGTCTCCAGAATGCTGGGATTATAGGTGTATACCACCACGGCCAGCTGATCTAAGTATTTTAAGCAAAACAAAACATTTGCTTCTATATGGTATTGTTCCAACTACACATACAATTTTCAGATTATGAGGAAGTATTTACAAGTTTCTTACCCTCAAAGAGCCCTTCTGTCCAACCCTTTACCTCGGAAAGAGTTGGAAAACTCCAGCTTTGAAGATACAATGCAAATAAGAACAGGCTTAGCCATACGGCACATCTGATTTAATCTGCATCTATTTTATCAAGTTATTCCTAGCCAACCAACAAGTCTCGAAATCACCTAATTTAAAGCTCATATTTAAACAAATGTGATTTGGGGTTAACAGCGGTAAAAGGCACTTGCCTAGCATGCATGATTCCCTGGGTTCAATCCTAGCACTGCAGAAAAACCCCACAGAAAACATAAATCTGCATCGTGCTCACCGGGGCCCCCATTGAATACACTGGTGCAAAGGCAATGCCAGCATCTGTTGAGCCCACACGTAGCTTGCCAGCTGTTGTAGTCAGTAAATCCCGTAAAGTTGAACCTTGTTCGTTATTCTGGGATGCAGGAGATGATGTTCCATCATTTGTAAAATCAGAGTCATCTTGCTCTCTCTCTTCTTTAAGTTGTTTTTCAAGGGCAAACTCTTTATTTTCTAAAATACAACATTTCACAAAATCTTAAGATTAGTACTGAGGTACAGGTCAAGCTGGGATTTGCATTTTACAGTGAAGATAAAACCTAGTTTTATTCACCTGAAGACAAACTAGAGGATGAGTTAAGATACTTCAAAATGGCATCAGTTTAAATATGAAGACTTTCTGAGTATTTTAGACATGTAGATACTTTGTACCTGTCATAACTGCAAGATTCTACAGCTAAGACAAGCAAAAAATATCTAATAGGTAAGTTAAAAATCTGGTTCTCCAGTATTTTTACTGATAACCAAACTCATCCACAAATCATTCTGTAACTAATTTTTACACAATCTTAGGAAGACTTTTTCTAATAAAACACGTATTTTATTGCACCTAAGCCCTAATTTAAGCAACAAGTCAAAGTAATATTTAGCAGTGATATGCAAATACAGTATCAGTTTATACTAATATACACTTAGTTAATTGGTTATGTTTACCTTTTTTTTCCTCTCTGGCTTTCTGCTCTGCAAGATCTGCTAACCAGTGCAGTGGTGACTGGGATTCTGGAGGAGTTACCTTGCTATCTGTGCTTACATCACTCCCTGGACTGCTGTTGCCATTACTTTCAGACTTCTGAGGGGAATTCTGCTGCTGAGACTCAGGCATGCACAGAGAAATTTTATTACTGTGATTAAGAACATTCTGTAAAACCTAAAGGGTAAAATAATTGAATTTTTAAACACTTTTTCTTTAATTTTTCAGAGTTAAAAAAGTACTCACAGGAAATTTAGACAGTAACATAAAAAGCCTAATTCACAAAAAACACAAGCCCCTCCATTGGACTGCAAATATCAAAAGAAATTTAATCTAACCATGCCTTTTATTTGAATATTTTTACTCACTTGAGATACACCATTCATTGTAGAAAAATTTCCAACTTGTAAGTTCTGTTTGTTAGTACAATGACAATGGGATTCCATACCATATTTTTCCCTAAGAATGTGCATGGCATCTAGAAGATCTGTCAACACTACAAAATAAAATGGTATTTAATAAAAAGATTACCACTGGTTAATAAGTCTATACAACTTTTTTAAAACATTGTTTACAATTTAGTAACATTGGAGCTCTTCTTATAACCTTATTTTCTTTTTCTTCATATTACCCATTTCAAATATAAGAACTGACTAATTTAAACTTTTTTCTCTTATGTCTGTTGTTAAACATTCAGTATTCTGAAATATTTCAGAAGGCTTTCACTGTAAATCCAAAGGCATTTTCATTACTCTGTCTCCCTCTTCTAAAATGGTCTTCTATGGCTTCTTTCATCACTGAGGCTGGGCCTGTCTTCCTAGCTTTATGACATAGATGATTTCCAGTAACTTAGAGCAATACAATTCAAGATTAAACTTCACTTCTCCATTTTAGTATACACCTAGATACTTCTTTAGGTGCTCTTTTACTTTGAATCAAGAGCTGTTATATTAATTAGATTATGTATATGCATACCTACCAGAACCAGGTATAATTTGAGTTGGCATTAAATGTTTGTGATCATGAGGTTGTCCTTTCACACACTTCATCCAAGCATACAATTCTTTATCTGTAAGATAATGAATAAGATACTTTGTCTTATGTTACTCATAGTTTTCCAACTATACAATTTATGGTTATACATAATTAGCAGTTATATAAAATAACAATGAAAGGTTTTACATTGTTTGGTTCTCTAAAATCAGTTCCTCACTCATACATTTACATGTGATTTTTAAAAAAAAGGACGTAATCATGGCCCTTTTCTAAAATTACTACTCTTTATTATCATTAATATATTAGTCATCTTAATTTTGTAAATTTTTTCTTAATTTTCTCCAGTTTTCTTTGTAGTGATGTTAAATCTTTCAGTTAGTTTCTGTCAAACAGGGTTTCTCATTGATCTTAGAACATTTACACTGACACGAACTATCATGAATATGTGACCAAAAAAATGCTGCCATAAACTTAGTATTCTAATTGCTACTATTTCTTTTAAACAGTACCAAGTTGTAAACATTTAAGGTACAGCATGAAACACTCTAGAGAGGGGAAAAATACTCAATACCTTGATCTCAAGGAGAACCTTCTTTACGGATTTAATAACACAGCTACTTAATATGTCACTCTTAAGAACTCTGAAAAAATACCACAAAGCTCAATGAACTGAGTATAAAAAACAGAATGGTTGCTTTATGAAAGCCTAAATAAAAATTCAAATGTAGTCTAAAATTCGCTATCTTTACAATCTTTTTGACTTTTCCCTTCAAAGCCTACACATAACTCGAAAATGTTTTCTGTTTATATTTAGACACTTAAGTTAATCACTACTACATAAAACTGCACTAGCCTAATCAATATGAGTTTTACTTGGATATATAACATTAAAATAACATATACAGATAACAAAGAACATAACATAAGGTACAGGTTATACCTAAAACATTGAAAAGGTCACTAAGACTAAAGTTTTCCAAGCTCACAGTACTTTGAAAATCAACAGCAACGTACACTAAGTTTATTATATAAATACTTCATCTTGTTAAAAAAAAAAAGGCTCATGGCAGCTTATACATCTATGCATAGCAAAGTAAGAGTATATGAGCCAGGCATGGTGGTGCACACCTGTAATCCCAGCCCTCTGAAGGCTGAGGCAGGCAAAACCACATAGTGAGACCCTGTCTCAAAAAGAGTACATGAAAAAAATTTTTTTTCAGGGCTGAGGGTGAAGCTAAGTGGTAGAATGCTTGCTTAGCATGTGCAAGGCCCTAAGTTCAATACAGAAGTTTTCTAAGAATGCAGCTACTTCTATCAACACAAGATGTCCCAATAAATGTACTTTTTAATAAAAAAGGTATTTTACACAGCAGAGATGTATTTCTTGTTATGGTTCCACTTTACTCACACATATAGTATATCCCAGAAGACCTTAGCTGTAGATACATAGACATGCTTCCAAATGCTAAGTGCATGGTGTATAAAAGAGTTACAGAGGGTGAAACTTTAGTAATTTCTACCAGTGGAAAAGATATGGCTAAATAATGATTCATGCCCTGATATGTAACCTTGTAACAAAAAACTATCAACAACATTTACCACTTTCAGACAAAAAACAGTCTACCACTAAGTATTTACTTCTAATACTTCCACAATTCTAATCCTTATTATCAGAACTTTACTCAAAACTTGAAACACATATTAGGCAACCACTTTTTTTTCCGTTCTATCACTGAGCTACATACCTCGTTTCCCCCAACCACTCCGCACACCCATTTTGAGATAGGGTCTCACTACAATATTAAATTCAGGCTGTTCTTGAACTATGTACCCTGGGCTGGCCTCAAACTTGCAATCTTCCTGCTTCAGCCTCTCTTGTGCTAGGATTACAGGTGTGTGCTACCACAGCAAGCGGCCCTTTTTATTTTTTGAGACTGGATAAAAATAAAACCAAAAAATAAAAATAAAATAAAATATTTTTTGAGACTGGGTTTCAGGGTCTCACTAAATAGGCCAGTCTGGCCTCAAATTTGTGGTCCTCATCCTGGCTTCCTGACTAGCTGTGATTACAGGTATATAAACATCACATCTAGTAGATAAACATTTTGTAAAAAGATCTGATGCTTTAAGTTCTTTTGTTTATGTATATATCTATACTTTTTTGCACACAGGGTCTCACTATGTAGTTCAGGCTGGCCTTTAACTCATGTACGCCTGCCTCAGCCTCGTGAGTGCTGGGATTACAGGTGTACAGCACCATGCCTGGCACTCCTTTAACTGTGTAGTATCTCCAAATGTTTTAATAAGTTTTTGCTCAATTTTATTTGCCTAGCAATTACAAACTGTTTCAAAGCTTTGTTTTCAGACTTCAGGGTTTTATTTTTTTGTCTTTTTTGAGACAAGGTCTTGCTATGCAGTTCAGGCTGGCCTTGAGCTCACTTTGTAGCCCAGGCTACAAACTTGCAACGATCCTCCTGCCCCAGCCTCCTGTCCCAGCCTCTTGGGTGCCGGCATTACAGGTGAGCGCCACCATGCCCGGCTTGGCTTCAAATATAAAGTCTTCTTCATTTTCTAAGATCTAGAGGATAAATGGTATCAGTGGCAGCACACTTTTATGCATTTTTATTCAAACTTTATCAACCAGTATTTAGGAAAGAAAGCCCACACAAAGCATTCAAGTATGATTTACATGAATAACTATAACAACAAATTATAAGAGGACTTCAGATTCCCACACACTGGAATCTGAAAGCAATGAACCCTAACCTGAATTTCTTCTACATTACGGAACCACTTGCCTGATGATGAGAGAGGGTGGATATACTCATCAGCTGAGATGCAGTTTAATTCTGCAAAACTGAGTTTTGTAGGGGGAGAAGGAGAGTTAAACCCAGGGTTTCCACCCAGAGTTACAGTCCCAGTTTTTTTTTTCGTTTTTTTTTTTATTTTGAGACAGGGTAGTCTCAATAAGTTGTCCAGGCTGGGCTTGAATTGGGGTGCTATCTCAGCTTCTTAAGAGTACTGGGACTTCAGCGATGAGCCACGGGACCCCTGATTATTCCTTTTAAAAACACACTTTAGGGGTGGGGATTTAGCTCAGCGGCACAGCGCCTGCCTGGCAAGCGGTAGGTCGTGAGTTCGATTCCCAGTACCAGAAAAAAAATAAATAAAAAATAAAAACACACTTTATAAAACTTCTTTAATGTTATATAATCATAATTAAGCTATAAGGAAAACATTGTACAGGTGAACGCTTTTAAAGAAAATAAACAATATAGAAATTTCAATTTCTATTAACTTCTATAAACTAACCTCTAGAACTCTTCCTCTCCTTGGCCTTGTAACAGTCCAAGCAGACCACAAACCCACACTTCTGGCATACCCAGTGAATGTTAAATAATGTTGCCTCACAGGCATCACACATCTCCCGAACTCCTCTCACAGCTCTTTTCCACGCAATTTTGGCTAAAATATAGAGAAAGCAAAAATTAAAAGACAAATCGGCCCTATGTACTTTTGGCTAGAATACAGCCATAAGAAAACATGAAGAGGGCTTTTATTTTTTAAATATTGCTAGAGACTAAATCCAGATCCTAACGTATCCTACACAAGCATTCTACCATTCAGGTATATCACCAGGATTCTTATTTACTTGGGGACACTGGGACACGCAGTACCGGGGACTACCAGATGGGCCCAAATTTTAATCCTTCTGCTTTAGCCTTCCAAACAGCTGGGGTTACAGGTGTGCACCACCATGCCTGGCACACACACTAATAAGGCTCTATCAACTAAAGATGAACAGCAGATTTCTTTATGGGATTAGTATTCATTTTCAAAAGTCACAAATAATCACAAGTGAAAATTAAAAACGGTTCTATCTGAGGTAAGGTTTCTCAACTTTAGCACTTCTGACTTTGAGGCTGCACAATTTTCTTTTGTGAGGGTCTGACCTCTGCATTGTAGGATGTTTAGTGATATCCATGGCCTTTCCTAAAAAGATGCTTTAGTGGTATAGCTCTACTCCCTTCAGTTATGCAACCGAAATTACCTTCAGGTACTGCCGTATGTTCCAGGAGTGACAAACTACTCATTTCAGAGAAAAGAAAGTAAAAAGCCAACATTTACAGTATCCACTGCTAGGTACTTAGGTTGAGTGCTTTACATTTATCCAAATACTATTAAGTGCTTTAAACAAATTTGTGAAATAGTTAACTTTTTCATTTCACAGACTTGATATTCAGAGATTATTTGCCAAAGGTTACACACTAAACAAGGACTAAAGTTGACATTCAAATTCAAACGACTGGGAGGTATTATATCCTTAATATGACAAATGATAAAATTTCACATCAAAAGTAATTTTATCATGTTAATCAAGTTTGTAATGGCAGGAATAGGAAAACGCCATTGTAATTTCATAAATGGTTAATCCATTCAATCTCCAAAAGAATAAATCTATAACTTAAAAAGAAAAGGTGTCACTACAATAATTAAAAATCAGTGAGTGCAAATAAGATTAGGGATGTCTACAGATTAGAAATGATTTAAAAAGAAATTCTTAAAATGATTTGCATAGTGTATTATATTTAACTTCCTTACCATCCTTTTTCACCCAGGACAAAGCTGTTTTCTCAGATGTTACTAACTGACAGAACTTATCACCTATTATTTCCAAGATATATTTAGAAGTTTCTATGTCTAATTCATCCTCTTCATAACTTTCATGTGTCCACAAACTCATAGCTTCATCATCATATTGGTCAGGAGAAGAGAAACCATCTATTCTAACCACTCCATTTTTACTAAATGACAATCTGAAACATTAAAACATAAAACCATTAGACACTAAGTTAAGATTAAAATTAACTTTTATGTTCATAATATAAACACATACATAGAATTTTAAAAATAAGGTAATTCTTCAATAATGCTTTAATTATTAATCAATTTTAATGAAGTCACATGCATATTACACAAATGGTAAAATAAGTAGCACCAAAATTAGGTTATTTCAAAGAATAACATTCTCCTGATCACTATACTTAATTACTTAACTCCAGTCAAATGAAAGCTATTGGAAACTAGGCGTAAGTGTTTACTTATTTACTGACTAACAGGAGTAAAAATGTGAGCTCACTGTTACTCAGAGCAATTCTCTTATTTTATACCCAGCTTTAATCAGGAATTACCTAAGTAATTCACCCAAATCACCTTAGACTTTATTAGCACAAAAAAATGCCAAATACACACTTTCATTAAAATGCTTTATTAAAAAGTACTTAAAACAACATGGATGACACTCTTAATGGAGTTCATTTAAAGTTCAACTGGTCTTAAATTTGGATATCAAATAATGTAATTATTCAGAAGTTTATGGTAAATGATGGTTATTTCTGAATTAACTAGTACATACTCTACTCTCAAGTGAGATATTTGAAATTCACTGAGTGATTCTGTATTCTTCAAAGTGGTAACAACAGTAACATTTTTAATGCCTATTCCTTATATTTTTATTATCTTATCCTTTTTTTTCTTCCTTTTTTTAAAAAAATCAAGTGTTTCTTTGTTTTATCCCATCATCTTACTTCAACTTTGCCTGTTTTTTTTTGGTACCAGGAATCGAACTCACAACCTTGCGCTTACCAGGCAGGCACTGTGCCACTGAGCGAAATCCCCAGCCCCTTCAACCTTGTTATTATCTTTACCTAAACATTTCTTTTCAATTTTCTTGGATTTTCTCATCCTCTCAAATCTACTTTAACTCTTTCTTTTATGTAGAGTACTTCTGTAACTACTTCCTGAAGTCACCTGCTTTTTGGGGACTTGTTGGCTACAAAGACTATGACATAAAGAAAAATTTGAATGTTTGTTTCAGAGTGTCTAATGGGCCACCAGCACAGCAGATTTATCACCAGTAAGCATCTCCTAACTTCTTAGGAGGAAGTTGAAGTTAGGAAAAGAAAGAACTAGTAACAGAGCATTTCATAGGTGCATCGTATCATACTAAGGACCCTGAATACCACTTTATATTATTAAATAGGTACCTCTATAATTCACAGGTTTACTCATAGTCCTGCTATACAAATAGTCACTAAAGAACTCAGGGGCAGAGATGGTATTCAAACCAGGAATGATTGATCCCAGAATGTGACCTATTAACTTGTCTCTATGGGCTACATTACCTAGCTCCCCTTCAGTAGAACTCTTACAAAGCTATGCATAAGTTTTTCACATATTTAGTAATACACTGAATAGGTATAAAGAACTGCAAGTGGCTTTGTATTTTACCACACAATGTATTTTAGTGTGAAATCGGATACGATATTGACAAAGCCTCCTTGGAACCTTGTAATTCTTATTTTTACAGCTAGAAATACTTAGTTTATGTTTATGAGTAACATTGTCAATATGCATTTAAGTCCAATACTTATTGTTAAAATTTAGAACAAAAAAATTTAGTATTATTTTATAATATATCAGAAACATGGAAACTCAAGATTTATCACAATACCAAAAGGGCCTGTTGGTGTAATTTCCAACACCCAGTAAGTGTTTTTCCCCCAATTTCTTATTTTCACTTACCGTCTAAAGTAGTAAAATCTACAAAACACCGGTGAGTGACTTGGTTCTTCTCCCTTTTTACTGCGAATAAGTCTACATTCTCGGCACTTCTGTAAATTAGGCCCTATCTCACAGCAGGAGTCATCCTGTAAGAAGGATTCCCCAGTTTGCTTCAGCTTCTTGACTTTTCGCCAGTCTTTTAATACTGAACGAGGGATGCCAGCTGTAAAATCAGTAGGGAATTATTAGCAAGATTATGCTTTATAAAAAAGTATACCCCCTTGAGATGAAATTCAAATCCAACTATGACAACAAGAACACTGAAAAGAAGCAAAAACACCAGTGTTCCAAACCAGCTAGGAAGCTTAGTTGCTAATCAGTGTTACTTACCAGATGAACCAGACAACGTTTATGTTAGTACATTGGAAATGCATAACAATGTATTTTCCAGCTGACTGAACCCTTTGCGCATCAAATATTCCTATGTAATATTCTCATGTACGCTAACATGAGGATCATTCATGTATCGCAACTAAAAATATCCTTCTACACAAAAATTATCCTTCTATTACAGTAGCCTCTATTTGATAACGAATTGGTGGCAGTGGCATCCTTTGGAAAAAGAAAACAGGTATGAAGACAGGAAAAGAAACTGGTCTGTCTTTATTGATAAAAGTGTTTTTTAAAAGGCACTGAGCTATACACCGTGACGTATGCCTGTAATTATTCTAGCTACTCTCAGGTGGCTGAGGCAGGAGGATGGTCTGAACCCAGGAGTGTAAGGCAAGCCTGGGTAAAGCAGCAAGACACCATTCTTAAAAGGGGTTGGTGTAAAGGCATCAAAGGAGTATAAAGAGGGAGAAAAAACCGTCAACTGCACTACATAGTCTGATATTTGTAGGGGGAAAAACTAATTGACAATCCTGTATGTCATACTGCTCCACAATTTTCATATATTTGAACTTTCTAAGAGTAAGAACAATGGTTCAAGTAATCCGTCATTTATACAGCAGGAAGATTCCTTAAACTGGGGAAATACATGTAAGTTAAATTTTGTCTACTACAGTTTTGAAAACATATTCATTTAAAAGAGACCAGCAAGAGACCAGCAGTATTTGTTGACTCAAATTTTATCCTGCCCATGTTAAAGTATTTACATAATAGACATCAGATTTACGGATGTTTTTTGGAGGGGGGTCTTTTTGAGATAGGGTCTCTCTGTGCAGTGAAGGCCGCCCTTGAGCTCACTTTGCAGGCCAGGCTGTTCTCGAACTCACAAAAACCCTCCTGCCTCAGCCTCCGGAGTGCTGGGATTACAGGCGTGTACCACCATGGCCGGTGGTAGATTTACAGATTATTATTCCTGTCTTATTGAAAGAATTATGTCCTATCCCCACTTTGTGCATAAGAAGTACAACTATTCTCCTGAGATGAGATACTTCTTGGAAAAACTTGTAGAAATTATATCCAGAGCTCCTATTATTAATTGACAGTATTTAGAGTAGAATTACAGAAAAAAAATCACCCCCACTGGGCAAGGAGTCCTGTTTTTAAACTACAGAGTGAGATTAGAGGGTAGCTCAATTAAATCTGGGTCCAATTATTAAGCTAAGATTGCCGTCTCATTCTTTACATATTTTTCCCTCTTCTGTCTCTGTGTTAGGGCAAGGAGCCAATTATTCGGTTCAATCCACTAAAGACACACTCATGTCCGTGTTTATTCTCTTTCCTTGTCATTCTGTCTCTCTCTCTGGATAGACAGGTTTCCAAACAGCAGGTGTAAAATGTTTATTTCTTCCACTGTATGTAAAGATGGATTTTCTTCCCTATGGGCTACATTAAAAAAACAGCTTTTAGAAAGTGAAATCTCACAGGGCTGATAAATTTTTATTTGGTATGCTTTCTTGCAAACATTTATTCCACTAAAATAAATTAAACATAACGTTTCTATTTTTGCCAAAGAAATAACTTTACCCAATGCTCTTTTAATTTCAGATAATGGGGGCTGGGGATTTAGCTCAGCGGCAAAAGCGCCTGCTTGGCAAGCGCAAGGTCGTGAGTTCGGTTCCCGGTACTGGAGAAAAACTAAAAAAAATTCAGATAATGGAACAGTTCAGAGTATGGAGTTCCATACTACTGTGAACAATTTAAATAGTAGTATAATAAACAGACCTTTCAAAGCAAACTTCGATTATGTGACACACATAAGCACTTTTGAGTTTTTTTAAAACAATGAATGAATTACAAAGACATTCAAATGAATTTTTGAGATTATAATATTTACTTCTAGATTAGGACACACGTGGCTTATGAATTTAGGTTCAGTAGTATTTGTACAATAAATAAAACTTCATCCTTCAACTCTATATATCTAATTTACTAGAAATACTTAAAATCTCAAAGTCTGAGATTAACATATTTAGTTAAAAAGACTATACAATCCAGTATTCCTATTGTAGAGTAACAACCTTTTGAACTGCAGTTCTAGATCAGCAAATCCACAAATAGTTTTTCTAACAAAAGGAAACTGGGTAGGAGGAAAACAAAGAGATAAGCACATTGTAAACCTGTGATCAGGTTAACCCACCAGTTTTGCGTATCACAAGATTAGGGATAAATTTAAATTTGGTGGGCAGTATTAGGACATAAAATAAATTTATTAAAGATTAGTCATAAAAATTCAACTTTTAAAATAAAAACGAAAGGCAGCAGATATGAAAACATTCCAAAACACTAAAGCAAAATCTACCATATCTTGCTGTAGAATGCACTACATGTGTATGTGTGCATGAAAGTGTAATTATACATGTACAATTGTGTATGTAACTGTACTACATCCTCTAAGTGCAAGCCTAACTTCTCATAAACTGACCATATTTTATGATATTGGAAAGGTCATATTTTTATACACTCAGGTTTAGGAATCTCTTACAAAAATTCTATCTTTTGAACTTTTGAACTAAATAGCCTGGAACAAAAATAAGTCAACTATGTCTAAAATTAATAGATGGCATTTAATAATCACTTAGTGTTATTTTATACTTGAACAAATAAGGAAAACATCAAAAACAAACACAAAAACCAAAACCAAAAAAGGTTTTCCAAAACTCAGTATCAGTTACCAAGTCAGGGAGAAGTGATGAAGCATAACTTGGTGTAGAGGAGAGAAGAAGGTACTCATTCCAGCCACTGTCCTAGGACTCATAAAACTGTAAACATTCAATCTTAAGATGAAAAGAACCTATGCATTACATTTAGAGTTAATTTTATAAATTTAATGGCATAAGAGTTTTCTAAATGTTAAAAAGTTGGAATGATCCTATACTTGTTTTCTGTAAGTTTAACTCAAAAAGTACTTAAATACCCAATCACCAAAGGAAATGTTACCTGAGATACAAAAAAAACAATTATTGACCACACTAAGGCTAATGAATACATTGGGAATAGTAAGAACAGGTAAGAAAAAGCAACACTGTATATAGGCCAATATTCAAGAAAGTGGGGGTAGCCTTCGCTGTCAATTACCCTCTCTGCCTTCTGACTACACTTGCATTTCAGTCTGTCACTCTGTCTCTAGAAGGGGTTGTCCTTTGTTCCTTTACTTTCTGACTGCCCTTTTCTATGATTCGACCCTCCTGTTTTTGTCTCCTTCACGTTGTCTCTGGTTTCCACACAGGCATGTGAGAAAACCTCATTCTGTGAAAAGGCATAAATAAGAGCCTTAGGTATCCAAGTGCTTGTGAAAGTATTTCTTGAACATCCACACTGGCACAGTATATCATATGTTGTATGTGGATGGATATATGAATATAATGAAACTGCTAAGTGCTTTCTGCACTGTGCATCATACCTACAAAGAAATAACCTGAGAAAAACTACTTCTGGAGTAAGGACACAGAAATAATTCACAGTAAATGTTACTGCTAAGTATCACTTATTCCATCCAGCTGTGGCCACAAGGAAATCTGAGTTTTTCTAGTTTTAAAGATTTTACTTATTATGGACATTCCTGAAATCAGAAATGAACATACAAAACCCACAAGACTCATTTTTAAAGAACTTTTATCCACTGTTAATGACTGTTTGAGCAGCATTATTAAACAGATGGTAATTTCAATAGTTACAATTTTGTGATATAATATGGGTAACATGGGTGATATTCGACCTTTAAGTAATTCTCTTCTAATTATGTAACTTAAACTAAGCAGGATTTCTTTTCTGATTAAATCTTGTTACAGTTAAATATCTTAGCTAGTATTAGGAATCCATTTTTGATGTGATACCCCTAACTGCATTTTAATAGTTTTTAGAAGTGTTCTAAATAATGAGTAACACTTAAATTGCTCAGTTATACACATTACCTACGAGTCCTAAGTAAAATATATGTATTTCTACAAGTCTCTTAAAAACCAAGGGGTAAGCATTCTGGCTTCCTCTTAGAAAGCACTTGTGAAATGCAGAGATGAGGTCAGTAAGTATATTTTAAAACTATGCATGCAAATAAATGGAGGCCTTCCAACTAAATTCTTTGCAGAACCACACTATTACTGCCATAATATTTCTCCATTTTACCTGAGACAAAAATTATTTACTTACCACTATTACTGTTGCTCTGTAACTTTAGTTTACTTTTTTCTTTGGCACTCCTGCTGAGAACTCCATTGGGTTTTACATCTTCCTCTGCTTCACCTTTTCTTTTCTGTAAGTCATTTTGCTTCTTTTTGTAAGTTGGCTTAGGCTGTCTCTTAGTCCTCTGCTCTGACTTGCTTTCACTTTCATCTGAGTCTCCACTGTCAGAGCCGGACTCGTAAGTTCTTTTGGCTTTTCTCCTATTGACTTTATCATCTCTTACATATTTATCAATGATGACTTTACTGTCTACATTATTTTGTATATCATTGGATGTAGAGGCTATTAAGTTAACGGAACACGGCTTAATAATTTCTGATACAGCACTGCCAGAATTTTCAATTTTATTAGTATTTTTATCTTCTTCTGAGTGTCTAGTAAGCCAGGCCTTTTTCAGTTTAGTATGGTAGTTTGGTTGACTTGTCTGGGATACTTGCCCATTTCCTACAGAGTTTGTTTTGTTAATTGTACTACAGACTACAGTATTATCCAAAGGAAGGGAGGCTGATACTGTCTGATTTTTCCCAGCATTAAATTCAGTCTCATTGACATTACTACTTTTATACTGAGCTGCAGCCAATGCTGCCTTGTGCTTTTTTAAATGGATAAAATCAGTTGTGCCTGGGAAGCCTGAGCTAGACTGAAAAACAGCACTTCCTGTCTTACTACTAGCCACAGTAACTGGAACCATGGTGCTGACCTTGCATTCTTGTGTTGGAGCTACTGACTGACTAGCATTTTTTGATGAGATACATTCTAAGGAAGTAGAGGCCAAAATGGTATTTGATAAAGAGTAAATTACTTCTGAGCCACCCCAGCTGGAAACACCAGTGGTAGTAACAGCAGATGTGTAGACATCTGTTTTGGTATTACATAGTGTATTTACAGCAGACATGACTGAAGTGGGAACACTGCCCAGGGAGACAGTCTCTAAGTTTTTTTCAGATTTCATGTGAGCACTTTCTGAATTCACATTTGGTAGAATGATTCTTGCAGGCTCTCCAGCTTCTGCTGGTTTGTGGCAATCTGTTTTATGCGTCCCAGCTGAAGATCTTTCACTAACTCGATCTCTGGAAGCTAACTGCATTGCTGTCATGCTATCAATTTTTGTGCTAGAAGGTGGACGCACAATGACAGATGCCACAGCTGCCTGTGACTTTCCACTGCTTTTCTCCACATGCCATTCCACTTTCTCCTTGCTGAGGTGATTAGTAGACCTCCACATTTCTGTCAAACTGTGCTCAGAAGAACTCTTCAAATGTGACTGAGCGTCTTTAGGCTCAGGAACTAGAGTGGGAGGCTTCTGTGACTCTTGCACCTTTCCAGAAGCATTCACTGGTATTGCTGGAGTTAAAGTCGGAGGGGAAAGGCTTCCATAGCTGCTTTCCTTTCTTTCTACACTGTGGTGGACTGGCGGGTGAAACACTGGTGCTCTGTGTAAAGCAGGCATGCTGCGGAGTGTGTTTGTAGAAGAGACTGTCAAATGGGTAGGGCTCCTACAGTCACTTCTGAATGTTGTTACCGAGTGAGATGCAATCTGATGGGGAAGATGTTCTAGTGTCTTGCCTACTAAACCTTCATTTTCTGGCTGATGTTTTATCAGAGGTGGAGGTTTTGAAAGAGATGACATAAATGAAGTCAGAGTTTGAGGATTAGCTGCTGCTGCAAGGGAGTTACTCTGCTTTTCAGTATAAATACTTGAAACCTCTTTGGATGGGTACGACCTTGGTGGCTCATTGACTACACTATTGGACAATGTAGTGAAATAATTACTTTGGGGCAAACTTGGAGGCACTACATGCTTCATTTTATAAAGCTCTGATACTGAGCGTTCCACATCTTTATCTTGTTTGGTAACATGGCTTTTAGGGCTAGAAGATGATGATGCCACTCTGGAATAATTATCTCTTTCACTCTCAAGTCCCTTGATTTTAGTTGTAAAGGGAGCAACATCAATACTTTCTTGAAGAACTCGACGGTGTTCCTCTTTGTATTTGTTCAATCTCTCTCCAGTCTCCTGGGGTGGTCTCTGCAACTGACCTAATCCTGGATCCACAAAGTGCCTATGCAGGTGACAGTCTTTTCCAGTCTGTGACCTATTTAGATCCAGGTCATGTTTTGCTGATGTCGATGCGACAGACCGTAAAGGTTCCATAAAAGCTTTCCTTTCCAATTCTCTGTAAAGAAAAAGACAGAGGTTTCTGTAATTACCCTTTCTCATAAAATACAGATATACCCTTTATTAAAACACATCTCTGCATGTATTCTAACATCAAGTAAATTAAAAGACATAGCACTACAGAAAAAAACGACTGCAAAGCTGATTTTAGACAACTGTTAAATTAAGAAAAATTGTGGGAAAAAAAAAAATCACCAAGGTATTTTAAAGTTTAGAAGCACTAATGAGCTTACTCTTTATGGTGATCTGCTAAAGTCTTTGTCAACGGTGGACTGGAATGTGCTGTCATTTTAAGAGGCCGATGTGGCTCTGCACTAGAGGGTCTGACAGGAATGTGACTGAGTAACCCAATGCCGTCTGCTGAAGTCACAGGGGTGGGTTGATGTAACCAAGGATTAGGAGAATTCTGTTAAAACAAATAAACAAACAAAGTAGATTTTAGTTAACTGAAAAAGACTACACTCAGTATCATAGAACTTTAATAGCATACTTATTAAATCTCAATTTTTTCAAAATAAATCTGATGAGAAATATTCAAATAATCAACAAAATTGTATGGATTTTTCTATTCTATGCAGAAAGCTAATCAGTGAAATCCAGTAATTTCTAGAAATTTACTGTTATTTTTACTAAAAGCAGGTCTCAAATTAGTACTTTTAACTTACTATATATGATGTCCAAAGAACCTAATTTATATGATTTCATATGACTCTTAATACCAAAATATATGTTGTTAGCGATGTAGTCTCTCTTGTTTTAGGTCTTTTTGAGACAGGGTCTCGCTATGCAGTTCAGGCTGGCCTTTAGCTAACTTTGTAGCCCAGGCTGGTCTCGAACTCGCAACAATCCTGCTGCCTCAGGAGCAAGGTATTCCTAAATACATTTCACAGGTTCATTTGCCTATTTTTGTGATAAATATAATGTTTTTTAATGTAATACTTTACTTACAATTGAATTAGGTGTTTTTTCCCCTCAGACAGTGTCTCCCTATGTTTGCTGTTAAGGCTGGCCTCGAACCCATGGTGATCTACCTGCCTCAGCCTCCCAAGCGCTGGCCAGGCTACTGACAAGAGTTAAATTTTCAAAGCCTAAATGTCCTGTATTACACTGTAAGCTATAAACATTGTTGGGCCAGAAACTTGGGAGGTATAAAAACACAGCAAAGTTAATTTTCTGTGTTAATATGCTGCCTTTTTTACAACTGTGTATGTGGTAACAATAACCTGTATGTTGAGACATGTACCTAATGACATGTTAGGGTTTGTTTCTATACTATTCAACTCACTAACATTCTTCCAAGTATACTCTCTGAATGTCAATAGGATGACAGCCAAAGATGGAAAATAAAAGGGAATAAACTGTAGAACTCAAATTGATAATGTAAAATCAACATGATACCATACCAAAGATATCCTGCTTCTTATGGTTTAGATCTGAAATGGCCCAAGTCTCATGTGAGGGGGTGGGGAGGTTAAAAGATGACTGATCATGGGGCTGCTACACTCAGTGGTCAATTCAATTCACAGCAGACTGTTTTAGGAGGTGGGGCTGGGTAAAAAGAGGATGGTCACTGGGGGCATGACTTGGAAAGTATAGTCTTGTCCCTGGTTCCTTCTTCTATCTCTGCTTCCTGGGTGCCAATGGCTAAGTACTTTTCTGTAACATGCCCTTCCACTATACCATTTCTGCCGTGGAGCTAGCTGACCATGGACTGAACTCACTGGAAACGGAACCAAATAAACTTCTCCTCCTTTAAGTTGTGTCTGTCAGGTACTGTGTCCCAGTGACAAGAAGGCCAACCAAGTACACTGCTATAAAATTACTTTGATTAAAAGCATACAGTGTTGCCATAAACTTCATATATAAGGGTCATTCAAGTAAGTAATGACACAAAAGGCCCAGATTTTACAAGGCTCAAAAATCCTAAAGTACAATCAAGTATTGGCAATAATATTTTTGCTCTATAAAATATTATTCAAAATTTGGGTTTTCTTTTAAGCTCTTAAGTTGTCTTCATTCTTTATAGAATCAAGTAAAACTATTATCTTTATTTGAGTTTATGCCTGAGGAGTCAATACCCCTAACATTATTTTGGAGTATTTAAATGTAAACATTATAGTGAGTCCAGACAGAATTAAATTTTCTTAGAAATAAAGTATAGGCATTTATAAAATGAGAGAAATATATTTAACATTTGCATCTATGGTTTAATACTACTTACTGTTGGTTAAACAGTAAACAAGTATCTTGCTGATGAACAGAAAATTATGTTGCTGCATTTTGACACTTAAAATATAAAAGGACTATTTTTATTTCAAAATATCCTTTCAACAATATTTTGTGATAAAATTTCCTTCCATAAAGTTTTGTTTATTGCTAATTTTGTCATTTAAAAAAATATTCCTGTAAAATATTATTCAAAATTATTTCCTAATCTAGTATCTTATGCTTATAGTTTTTCACTCTGGACACATACCAGCGGTAAGGAATCTTCACTTTTGCTCAAAGCATTAAATTTATTTCTTCGTAAAACAATTTTACACAAGTAAATAAATCATTTTGTTCTGACAGTCACAAAATCTACTAAGCAGTACTCCTTTCAAGTCATTTCTATTAGTTCCTTAGATCTGTTTTGCAAGGTTTAGATCTTATGGGAGAATACCCAAAGCTATTTGCCAGCTTTTGGCTTGTGTTCCTGTAGCCTATCCTTCCATGGGTGTGACTACACTGATGACATATGACATGAATGGCTACTGACAGAGTTACAATTTCAAGACCTAAAGGTACAATGAAGAGTCAGAGGTAAAATGTGAGTGCAATGTACCCTCAAGCCACAGGTCCACTTTCAATTCTGGCAAAGACGATAATGTAGTGATTAGTGAGTCCTCCTTGATTTAGACTACATAATCTCATATAATTTTACCAATCATAGAGGCAACAGCACCATCAAGAATGGGAATAGGAACCTTGTGATTATTGGAAACACAATTATGAAACTAAGATGTGCCAGCATCAAATGTGCCAAGGCTGGTACAGAATAAATTGTAGTTATCACTGCTAACTTCATTAAAGAAAGCCGAAGTGCCTATGAATGCTGAGCTAAAGAGTTATGTTTGCAATGAGAATAAAGCAAAAGAAACATCCCTCAAAGTTATTAAAACTCAGCCTTGCATTACTAACTAGTAGGAGGTACCCCTTATTATCACAGTCACCAATCACAAACTGCTAGTCATGACCATGGTTTATGCCATTACAAATAATAGCTCCCCTTAAAAACTGCTGGCAGGACCACCACCTTGCACCTGCTGGCATCATTCATGGTGCATGCCTGCCACTGCCAACTATCAGGTGTGCCAATGCCAACCAATAACCTCAAAAGGCTGTCAAAAAAGCACATGACATTACGAAGGTGCTAAAAACACTTTCACTGCAACAGTATTCACAACAGTCAAGACATAAAGCAACTCAAACATCCACTGACAAAGGAATAAATACAAAAATTGTGGTGGGGGGCCTGGGGATTTAGCTCAGCAGCAAAGCGCCTGCCTGGCAAGTGCAAGGTCGTGAGTTCGGTTCCCGGTACCGGTGAAAAACCAAAACAAAAAAAAAGAAAAAATTGTGGTGGGATGGGAATGTAACTTAGTGGTATAATGCTTGCCTTGCATGCATTGAGACCTTGGAGTTCAATTCCCCAGTACTGCCAAAGAAGTAAGGAAAGTCAGGAAATGTGGTGTGGGTGTGCTTACACACACACAAGAATAATATACAACTGTAGCCTGGTGTGTGGCTTACACCTGCTGTAATCCTGGCACTCGGGGGACTGAGGCAGGTGGTCAATATGAGTTCAAGGCCACTCTGGGCTACATAGGGAATTCAGTACAGATTAAACTACATAGCAAGACCCTGTCCAAAAAAAAAAAAAAAAAAAAAAATACAGCTGTAAAGAATAAGAGCATTCAGTCACATGGGATGACATAGATGAAGTTTGAGGAAATTATGCTGAATAAAATAAGCCACTAAGGAAAAGACAAACACTGGATGATTTTACACATATGAAATATCTAAAGTAGTCAAAAATCACAGTATCAAGAACCATTAAGGAAGGAGGTAGCTGCCAAGTGTCAATGGGAAAGGAATTAAATGCCTAATGAGTATAGTTTTAATTCTACAAGACAGAAAAGTTCTAAAGTTCTGTTACACAACGCTTGACACTGGTTAAGATCTGTTTGGGATCAGAACCTTATAAATCGAGGCTAGGGCCTGGGGGCCTCAGTGGTTCTGTGATGCCGTGACAACTGCAGCCTAAGATTACATCAGCCTAAGATCACCTCCACCCTCCAAGTCATAGCAACTGATCCTCACCAACATAAGATCCTCATCAGTTTAAGATCACGGCTGTGCTCTAATTCATCTGATACTCCTCCCAATTATTGTGTGCACCCAATCAAAAGTGCCTAGCTTGGAGTGTCACAGTCTCTGCCCAATACTGAGGCACTGACTGTCTAGCCCTTCTGTAATGCATTACTAAGTACCTCTGTTTCTTAGTTCATCCTTTGGCCATAACCCTCCATATAGGCAGCTGGGGAACTTGGCCAGGACCCCAATAAAGATGGCAAATTTAATGGAATATACTTTTAACCAAAAAAAACAAACAAAAATGTGTTCAGAACATTCAAGGGGGCTATCTGAAGAGCATTTTGAGTAGTGCAAAAGCTAAGACTGTTTCCTGGGAATTTGATAGTGACACTCATTTCTCCATTTTTTAATACTGAGTCTGATACTGCCCCCTCAGAGCTTATTCAAAGCATAAAAAGAATTTGCTAGAGAAACCGCACAGTCCACACTAAGGAAAACAAGGCCTATATCCCCAACTTTAGCAACTGTCTCTTACAAAGAAAAAACCTTAGCTGTAACTTTCCCAAATGTTGGGAATCTCCAACCTTGGTCAGCCTTAAAGAAAACAAGGAGTCACACATATTGTAATATACAGGGTCTCACTATATAGTTCAGGGTGGACTTGAAGTCACACTGACCCTCCTACCTCAGCCTCCCAAGTACTGGGATTACAGGTGCATGCCACCAGGCCTGGTGTAATATATTATTAAAATAATACATTCGGCTGGAGTATAACATAACATCTTTTAATGAATAGTGTGATCAATAACCTTACAATTTTATGTAAAGTTTAACCAACAAATTTCACTTGTAAAAATTTAGATGCATAAAATAATTACCAATATAGACCAGTGACAGTGAACCTACAGCAGGCATGCGCAGCAAGCTATCACTGAAAGCTCTGCAAGTTTTACCATCACTGATAGACATGAATCTACATCTGTTAATACTATAATATGAAAGGTTCCACTTCTTTTAACAATCTGCTTTTTGTTAGCAGGATTTTCTGAGATTTCTGCTTCTACTCCTCTGAGGTTACTAAGAACCTTGAAAAACAACCATCTAAAAATGCGAACACATTTTATAATAGGAAATGACCTTTTAAAAAATGGAATACTGAAAAGGCATCTATACATTGATATGTGGCAAACCAATGTCACTTACTCTCCTTAATGAAGCTTCAGCATTAACTGCATTTTCTGGATGAACCCACTTAGAGGAAGGCAGACCGAGTCCTGAGTATGTGTGAGTTCCATTTGGGTATTGCCAAATAATTGGATAAAGTCCAAGCTGATTATATGAAGCAGAAGGATGGGCTTGTCCAAGAAGATGAGGTGACTGATGCTGTAACAACTGTTGCTGCTGCTGGTGTGCTAGGGCTAAGTGGCTCAAGCTACTGGCATGAGCACTCTCTAGGCGTGGGTGGCCACCAAGTAAGGAGGCAGTAGGCACTCCTGGTAACACAGTGGGAAGTAAGTGAGGGTGATGAACAGAGTGGTGTGGACCACTAGTAAGAGGATGAGTGTTAATGGTAGGTAATGGAGTTTGACTGGATGATCCGGCCAGTAAGTGGGGTGCAGGAGTTAAGGCAGGGTGATGGGTACCCGGATTCAAACAGGTTCTATGGGAGGACGAATGAAGAGGGAAAGGATGATGGCTTAAGAAAGGTGAAATGTGATTAGCTCCTGTTTCTGATCCAACAAGAGCAGGATCTCTATATACTGTGAAATGCTCGTTTTTATCAATAATAAGAGGGCTCTTTGTTGTTTCCAGTGTGCTGCCTCTAGCAGAAACTGGATGGAAACTGCATCGTGACAAGTCATGCTCCATTTTATGTGCCAGTCTTCTTTCACCAGTGGCTTGGCTGTTCACATATGTGGTCTTAGACTTTACAGAATCAGGAGAATGGGTAATTTTGGGTTTAACAACTTCAGGAGAAGAAATGCATTTAGTCTTGTGAGCATCTACTGAAGTGTTTAGTTTAGATTTTGTAGTCTCTGGGGGTGGACTCCGCTTATGAAGCTTATCTTCTGGGACAGGAACTGCATTTAAAGAAGACATGTAAGATACATAATGGTTTTTCTCTTTCTCCATGTCCAGGTGATCATTTCCTGAAGCATTTATAACACCAGACTGGGTTAAATCCACTTTAACTACATCACTAACCCAGCTCTGGTCAGAATCCTGTTTTGCTGTTTCTAAGCATTTTGCATTTGCAATTGAATGTTTTGGATCGCTAATATTAGGATCCACTTTCTCAACTGTCTGGAGGCTGAAGGTACTTGAGTTTTCCTGAGCCACCTTTTCTGAGTTAGTGTCATCTGTAATATCGATAGCACATGTTGGTGTTGGTGGCCTCGGTGTGAACTTCTCCTTTGGTAGTAACTCCACAGTGTGTGTGTTTCCCATACTGCATTCCTGAAGAAGTACATCACTAGCATTATGATCTTCAAGTGTAGACTGTTCTGATGAATGCATAATCATTTTTTCTTGAAGCTGAGTATCAACAGACTTTCGCTTCTCTGCTTCTTCAAGTTTATCTTCCTGAATTTGAGCCCAAGGAGGCTGGATATCCATTAGGGTCTCTTCTGCTTTCTCACTATCCTGCAATTTTCCTTCTTCTCCATTGATCTTTGAAGAGTTTTTATTTTTCAAATCATGTTCTGGCTTTTGCTCTGAGGAATTGTCAGTTATTCTTTTATTTGAATTTTCTGAGTCACTGTTCTCAGAAAAGTCTGAAACATTGTCAGTCCGTGGTCTTTTCATATTCAGTTTCTTTTCATCCTCCTCAGGTTTCCTTCTTTTATTCATCAAGTGTTTGTTTTTACCTTTAGGATTTTCTGTAAGATTAAAAACAGAAGAGATTTATTTCTTATATAGTACTAAATAAATATATTTTCATTTTCAGTCCTTTAAAAAAAAGTGGGTACTACCTCCTCGTGATATAAAATCGTATTTTTCTTCTTTCATCTTTTCCTCATCTGGGATACTGCTATCTGAGCCCTTTCTCTTATTTGGACGAATATTTCTTTGTTGCTGTTGCTGGTGTGTATTCTGTTTTGGTACAGCAGCTTGAGAATTCATTGCTGGTCTGGGACTATTTGCTTGGGCACGTGTGTAATGACCCTACAAATAAGCAATCAACAATGATTTTTACACCAGATTCTAAATAGCCTACTAAGAGAAAATATTTCTATTAAAATCTATTACCGGTAACATACATACGTGAACAGCGTTGATACTTTGATTGGCACGAGACCTTCGTCGTGATGTAATGCCAATATTTTCACCTTTTAACAAGGAGTGAACAACATCGTCTAGAAAGGTCATTTGAACCATAGAAGGATCGACATTCTGTGGTTCGAGTACCTAATTCATGACACAAAACAAAAACAAAATTAAATACAGTGAGCTAATCAGTATTTGGTACAATTTCTTTCCTTAGTACAAAGGCTTAGAAATCAACTTGTGATCTCTTAATTTATAAGACAGTATCAGATTTACATAATGAATTTTAATTATCAAAGATAAAAATTACATGTTCAACATTTTGAAACATGGTTTCAACTGCTAGCCAAGAATTAAAAAGCAAACACCATTCACTGCAAGTTTACCTTGAAAAACAAGAATAGGAATTAATCAAGAATATAAATCCAAATACATAGCTATAATATCACAAAAAGAATACAGATGTCGAAGTTAGCAAATATATAT